GTTCCCAATTGCGCAGATCGATGCTCATGCTGTTGATCACTAGATTGTCTGGTCCAGACTCGATTACAGACTGCCGCCTTATAGCTGGAATATTACTGAGTGCGGCGTAAAACTAAACTCACTCACTCACTCAGATAATCAGGTCATGTTCATTCACATGTCCATTTTGTCTGAATCTGGGCAGTGAGGTAGCCTAGTGGTTAAAGTGTTTGCTGGTCATGCTGAAGACCCGGGTTTGATTCCTTACATGGGTACAATGTGTGAAGCCCATTTCTGGTGTCCCCGTGATATTGCTGGAATATTGCTAAAAGCGGCGTAAAATCAAACTCATTCACTCTGTCTGAATCTGAATATGTAATTATATTTCATGTGTTATGTTTATGAATTTATTGTAACTGAGTGTACTGATTCTGTAAACAGGCATAGCTATTTCACTATTTAAATTATGTATAGTCACATCCATTTTGTCATGAATCCCAGCCTCTCTGATATCTTATTGTTAGGAAACACAGTATAAGATTAAAAGATTAATGATTATATATATATGTTTTTTATCAAGACATTTTGTAATCTTGATGATTTCACTTAAAATGCATAATCAAGATGTACAGAGTGCATGTTAGTCTGTCTCAAAGTCCCTGAACCACATTTTACCTACTGCCTAGCCCTCCGTGCAATGCTAAAGCCCTAAATGAAGCAAGTTTGATTTCCTCAGGTTCTGAATCTCCCATCTCACTGGGGCTCCTATTCAATTTGACCACCTCCGTGGTGTAGTGGTTAGAGCGTCCGCCCAGGGAGCGGAAGGTTGCGGGTTCGATCCCTGACCGCGTCAAACCAAAAGACGTTAAAATAAGGTACTTGTTGGTCCCTGCCTGGCTCTTGGCATTAATGGGTGCAACAAGGCTCAGAGTCAGTATAATGTGTCTGAGTGGGGTATTCATGCTTCACTGCGGCATGGTATCTCAGTGGGCTAGCACTATAAAACCAGCTTAAGTCTGGGCTAGTACAAGCAGCCGCACATACACATACACCCGCATACACGTCGTCATATGAGCGAAATATTCTCAAGCACGACATAAAACCCAATTTCACCTCACCTCACCTCACCTCCTTTTCAATTTAAATGGGGTTATATGTTATTATCAAAATTATATAAATTCACAGACGTTAGTCTAAGAGCATGAAGGTCTTTGTACTGAAAGCCTTTTCTATCTCCAATTGTCTAAGTTCCCAATGAGGAATCAAGTAGATCTTGACATTGTTTTCAGAACAATTTATTGCTACAATAACATTTTGATTTCTGGTTTTTGTGCTGAGATAGGAATTATGTAAAACTTCAGGACTACACTGATACCATTTCAAATGAGGATGTATATTACCCTGATGCTGTGATATACGGATTTTATCATCACCTTGGTGCTGTGATGTCAGGATATATAATCATCACTGTGATACTGTGATGTAAGGATATATATCATCACCCTGATGCTTGGGGTGCCAGGATATATATCATCATCCTGATGCTGAAATAAGGATATATATATCATTACCCTGATATTATGATGTCAAGATATGTATCATTACTATGGTATTCTGATATCAGGATATATATCATCACCTGATGATCGGACATGAGGATATAAAGCATCACTCTGATGTGATATATGGATATATATCATCACCCTGTTCTGAAATAATGTAAAACTTCAGGTCTACAGTGATACCATTTCATATGAGTATGTATATGACACACTGACTCTGTGACATATGGATATATCATCACCTTGATGCAGTGAATCTTGTCAGTGTATATATCATCACCTTTGTGCAGTGATGTCAGGGTATATATCATCACCTTGCTGCAGTGATGTCAGGGTATATATCATCACCTTGCTGCAGTGATGTCAGGGTATATATCATCACCTTGCTGCAGTGATGTCAGGGTATATATCATCTGCTGTTGAAGTGATATAAGGATATATATCATCACCCAGATTTTGTGAAATAACAATGTATATCATCACCCTGGTTTTGTGTTATAAGGATATAATGATGACCCTGATGCTGTGATATATGGATATGTATCATCTCAACACTGATATGAGTGTATCTATATCTGTCTGCTATGTTTCACATTCAAGCTAATCAGCTGATCATGTGGTACCTCCTGTAATTACAAAGTTTCAGTGCTAAGATCATGCTTCTGTAGCCAAGTGCTGAAGACAGGAGTTCCCTACACAGCCAGCTCCAGTTAATATACAGATAAGATACGTTGGAGCAGCAGCAGCTACACAAGTCCTGACTATATTCGTGTTCCAGAGAGCAAGGAACAGTTTGAACTTGATAAGATTTGCTGTTTGACAGGAAATCCTCAATTAAAGAGGGAACACATATACTTACCTCTTGAAGCCCGCTGCAGGAAGCTGTCGTTTTAATGTGAAGGTCACTGTATGAACTTTCAGCTTGTTAGTTGTAGAAATACAGATCAAAGATTTTTGTTTTTATTACCATCTTGAATGTTTTTATGGTATATTAGAAGAAAAAACTTTTAAGGATCATCACTTTTAACTTGTAAACATCTGTATCACTTTTATCTTAAGCAGGAGCCCTCTTGATCATGGTGGTTATATTTACCGATGTCAGGTGTCAACTCAATCATGCTGAATAATATCTACTTAAGTATGTAGAATATAGGTTTAACATACATGTACAACCAGTGTCCATCACTGTTTAAATCACTGACAAATATATAGATGTTATTATGTGGGTATTATATAATTCAACACTTATTAACAGACAGCATTGAATCCATATCACCTACAGGGTAGGATGCTACTGTGTAGCATGTTGGTCCGGGTTGGAATATTGATCTTCAGTAACCCATGCTTGTCGTAAGAGGCGATCGGGTGGTCAGGCTCACTGACTTGGTTGACACATGTCATCGGTTCCCGATTGTGCAGATTGATGCTCATGCTTTTGATCACTGGATTGTCTGGTCCAGACTCGATTATTTACAGACCGCCACCATATAGCTAGAATATTGCTGAGTGCGGCGTAAAACTAAACTCGCTCACTCACTGTAGCATGTTGGCTATGGACATGATGCGCTTAGTAATGCAAACTATGAACTAAGGCTTTCTCCCCAGCCATGTAAACCAAATTACCTAACTTTGATGCGTGCACATATATGGGTTGCCTAGGAACCGAGAGCCACCAAATGGACATACACATACCCTGTGTCTAGTATATGATACGGACTTGTTATGATAGAACACATTACATGTGTTAACTATAGGGCTGCACGTTATTACCGGTATACTGGTATACCACAATATACTTGCCAATACACAGTCTTAGTTAACCAGCTGTATGTCTCTGTAGTATTCTACTGTAAATGGATGTTTTATCAGATCAATAAACATATGTAAAAATACACATGCTTGACCATGCCCCTCAGAATATGTAACCTGTTGATCACTCTACAGTGAAAATGTCTGAATCCAGATGCTGCTGTATTGAGTGGTCTGGATTAACTAATGTCCTAGTTAACGAATCATGAGTGTGGAATACTGTCCAAGTATCTGTATACATTCCAACATCTGGAAGCTGACTACCAGGGTCCACACTAATGAGTTTCATGGTATATATGTAATGAAGCTGAAATGATATCATCACTATGTAAATGGACATGTGTACATGGTCGAGGGCAGCTGAACCAGCCAGGTTGTGCGGAGGGTGTACTGTTTTCATCAGGCACACGTACCATGCCCCACCACCTGCTAGACACTGGAGAATTAATTCTGAAGATATTATCAGCCCCAGCTCTCTGTTAGAAGCACATCTGCAAGTGTCACAGAATATGAGCTAAATATGAGTTTAATGTCTGTACAGTGTACCCGTGAAGATCTGGGCTTAGATTTGGTCTTCAGCAACCCATGCTTGTCGTAAGTGGCGATTTACGGGATATGGTGGTCAGGCTTGCTGACTTGGTTGACACTTTTCCTCGTATTCCAATTGAGTTGATCGATGCATTTGCTGTTAATCACTGGATTGTCTGGTCCAGCCTCGATTATTCACAGACCACCGCCATATAGCTGGGATATTGCTGAGCGTGGCGTTAAACAACCAACCAACCAATCAACCAACTGTACAACATGTACAGTAGTATAGTCAGTGAGAGGGTAAGATTACAGAATACCGGATACCTTCCGCCATCTTTGAAAGCACGCGAGCTTACTTTTTGGTTAGGGTTAGGCTAAACAACCAAGGGTTAACCAATCAACCAACTGTTTACGTCCACACTTAACAATATGGCTGGTAGGTATCTGGTATTCTGTAAGTGTAGCGTATAGTCAGTGAGAGCCTTAATAAAATTCAAGAAGAATGTTGACAGCTTCCATCAAATGGAGACATCATTTTGGTTAAAGAACACACTACAGTGACTGAGTAGACTGTGACTTAGGGTGCATCTCTGAAGCATCATGGTTATCAGTGCATCTTTATGTACTTCTCTCAGCTATCGGCATTCCAACACAGACATTTATAGTTACAACATTCATTGTTTCAAGTGCTGTGTCTGTTTACTATTGCCACTTACAGAAACAATATTGTCTGTTGGCACACATGGGAAATACATTTGACTGAAGTAGTGTATTTTCCTTTTGCAGAAATGTAGAATGATGTTTATCGGAAAGGTGTTAAACTAGGTATTAGGGCACTATTACCATGGGTACAAGTGTATCCTTACAGATTTAGAGATAGCAAGTCAAAGAATGTTGAATATGTGTATGGTGTTTTATTACTTATATTCGCACCATTACCATGGCAACCATAATTTCTCTTCATCCAACAGTAGAGCCAACAAACCAAAAAGTGTTGAATACAGCACCATAACCATGGCAACTAGACTGTCTATTCATCCAGCAGTACCAACAATCCAAAAAGTGTTGAATACAGCACCAAAATCTTGGTAAACTCTGACCAAAATGCTTCTGTTGCAGCAGTAAAGCCAGCAAGCCAAAGACAGCTGCCACTGCATCAGGTCTCTTCCTGGATGATGATGAGAAACCAGACGCTCTGTTTGGTGCAGCAAGCAAGCCTTCAGCCAAACCTGCACATGATAAGGTAACATGTTGTTGGAGTTTGTTTAATATATTTTCACATTAGTGAAAAATATAAGAACATGTAATTTAGGAAAACAGCAAGAATTTCTTATGTAAACCTACTATAATAATCACTATCGACTCTCTGTACTTTTGCAACCTGATGACAAGAAAAGGTTTTATATGTAGGTCCTTTCAGTTTCACATTTTTAAGGATACGATGACTTACTTTCTGAAATATTTGACTAAATAATAATAGTGTAATCAGCTATGTTGCAATCAGCATAATTTTAACAGTATGTACATTGGACATTGGGATCCTCAGTGATGCAAATTCCAGGTCCTAGCAAATTTTCTGGCCTGAAAAAACAGTAATTACTGGTAAGTATAGTGGTAATACCCGGTATGTGTCTAACATACAACAACTAGGTCACACAAAGTATGCACTTATGCATCAAGACGTCTTATTGTTCTCTCTTGACGTTTTTGGAATTAAGTTGTATCTGGAGTTTATATATTAGCTTGGTATTTGTGGTTTTATCTGAACTATCATCTAGGTTAAACCAAAACTTTGCAATATGATTTGTTACAGAAGGGAGACAAAACCAAGCCAAGAAGTAGCAGTCTGTTTGATGATGATTTAGATGAAGAGGAAGATATGTTCTCGTTCAAGTCAAAGCCCAAAGACACGTGAGTGGTGTAGTTCTTCTTGTGAAACACAGAAAGTAATGCTTCTTTTGCGTCTACCTTAATTGTCCTTAAATGTGTAATTGGCCTCCCATCAAGGTTGCCCATGTCACACATTGAGTCAATATTAGAAGCAATCATACCCTCTTGTTTGTCTGTGAGATGCACATGTTGCCTGTGTCCAACATTGGATATAAGTAGTAGAAATAGTAATGGCATATGTCTGTTATGTATGAGATGCACATCTTGGACTTGATATGATGGAATACCTTTCAGTGGAGGCAAGAAGAAGCCTGTTGGTGGAGTTGCTCTGTTTGGGGGTGCCGACATTCTGAAGAAGAAGACAGAAGCCCCAGCAGAGGAACCTCCCAAGGTGATAACATTGTTCAGGGTGCACATAAGATATGTAAGACCTTGACCTTGATAAGTCATTGAATTTTTTCTGAATTAATAGGCCATGAACATGAAGATCGCGTGCCTTGAATTGTACAATTGTAGCAATGTACAGTGATATTTGAACTTTCTTGTTAAAAATCTGTCTTTATCCTAGAAAAGTATTTGTTTGAGTTCCGGTGGAATTTAGAAGTGAAGTGTTTGTCCACTGCGAAGTGTAGAAGTGAAGTGTTTGTCCACTGTGACATGTAGAAGTGAAGTGTTTGTCCACTGTGAAGTGTAAAAGTGAAATGTTTGTCCACTGTGATGTGTAAAAGTGAAACGTTTGTCCACTGTGAAGTGTAAAAGTGAAATGTTTGTCCACTGTGACGTGTAAAAGTGAAATGTTTGTCCACTGTGATGTGTAAAAGTAAAACGTTTGTCCACTGTGAAGTGTAAAAGTAAAATGTTTGTCCACTGTGATGTGTAAAAGTAAAATGTTTGTCCACTGTGACGTGTAGAAGTGAAATGTTTGTCCACTGTGAAGTGTAGAAGAGAAGTGTTTGTCCACTGTGAAGTGTAGAAGTGAAATGTTTGTCTTCTGTGAAGTGCAGAAGTGAATGTTTGTGCTCTTGTACTAGGCTGCCCTAGAGGAGGAGAAGCCAGAGGTGAAACCCCCACCCCGCAAATCCACACTGTCGTTGTTTGATGAGGATGGAGACGATGCAGATTTGTTTGGTGCGGCACCAAAACCTAAACCAGCACCCAGCACTGCCAAGAAGGAGGTACCAGAGTTTCTTCTGACTTTGTGCAAGGAATAAAGAAGGGTTTAGTACAGGGCTACTGATAAACTCACTCACTCACTCTTTGGAGATTCAGTGTGTATTTACTCCCTTGCACTCGTGCTGTTAGGTATTTATTGGATGAAGAAATGCACACTTTATGATTTGACTTAAAATATTCAATATTTGGCTAGTGTGCTGGAGATCTGAGTCCCATTGTGTGAACCTTGTGAAGATTAAAATTGATGTCATCTGCCACTGTTTGCCTTAGATACTGCTAAAACCACACTTACAATGAATACACAGATGTCTGTGAACTGAGTGAGGATGTCTTGCTTTTCCCTTGACACCTCTATGGACAACACACAGTTGGCTAAAGTGTTTGAGTTGATATATTGAATACTGTTTTGTTGAAGTGCTAAGAAAATTGTTAATGTTGTATTTGTAGCAGAGCAAGCCCAAGGCCGCTGGCAAGAGCCTGTTTGAGGACGAGGATGTCCTGTTTGGTGGGGCCAGTGAGGAGGCACCAGGTGTGGACCTCTTCAGTAAACAGGGACCTTTGGGAGGCTCGGTGAGTATCCACAAGCAGGCCCTAAGTGGCATCAGTTCAGTAAGGGCCCTCTTGGTGGCTCAGCAAGTATCAGAGATTTTCGGTGAGCAGGCACTAAGTTGCATCAGTTCAGTAAGGGACCTATAGGAGGCTTGGTGAGTATCGGTGGGCAGGCTCTAAGTTGGATCAGTTCTGTGAGGGACCTATAGGAGGCTTGGTGAGCAGGCACTAAATTGGATCAGTTCTGTGAGGGACCTATAGGAGGCTCTGCCAGTAGTAATGAGCAGACACAGTAAACAAAAGTTCATTGGAAAGAAAGCTTTGGATCGGTATGTTTCTTCATGCTTAATTTTGACATTTGTTTAAAGTAATACACCGAGGTAGGCACATTTATCCTACAATCCATCTTTTCACCGGATGAGGCAGAGAGGGTTAACAAAATATATCTATTATTGATTTAATAACTGGACAATAATGCATCTTAAAACTGCTCGGGTGATCTGTTGCAGACTAAATCAGAACCAGCTAAAGCTGCCCCCACTGCTAAGCCATCAGTAAAGGTTGGTGGAGCCACCACCAAGTCTAGCTCCACAGACCTCTTTGACGATGATGATGGCTTGTTTGACACAAAGAAAGACAAGGTATGGTTACATTACAAGATGCAAGACCAAAATTCAGGGCCAATCATCAGTTTAGGTATCTTTTAGCAGCCACACAGTCGATGGAATGGTACCTTAAGCACCAATAACGATGGGGAGTTGGACAATTTGGTATTTGAAATGCAAGCATCAGCGAGGCCTGCATATTGGCCATGTTTTTTTTCCTGGATCTTGTCACATTATTGTCAAAAGGGATTTTTTTAATGATATATGTATAATTTCATTAGTTTAATGAAATTAGTGGTTGACATAATGAGCCAGCAGGATGCAACAAATGAAAGATGGTATATTAAACAAGGCAGGAACCTGCTCTAACTCTCTTGTATTTACCTCTCAGCCAAAGGAGAAGGTGGAAGTTGCTGGGGCAACCACAACCGAGTCATCTGATGCTGGACCATTAGCTGAGGAGGAGGTAGGTTGTGCACCAGGGTGAAGGGACAGAGTATGATGTGCTCAGGCTCTGCATAGATCTGTTTAGTAGGGGTGGAGGGACAGGGTGCTCAGACTGCAGATGGACGTATTAAGTGAGGGTGGACTTAATACGTACACAGACTGTGGATGGACCTCTTAGGTAGGGGTGGAGGGACAAGGTGCTCAGACTGCAGATGGACGTATTAAGTGAGGGTGGACCTAATACGTACACAGACTGTGGACGGACCTCTTAGGTCGGGGTGAGGGACAAGGTGCTCAGACTGCAGATGGACGTATTAGGTGAGGTGGAGGTCCACACAGACTATGGATGGACCTCTTAGGTAGGGGTGGAGGGACAGGGTGCTCAGACTGCAGATGGACGTATTAGGTGAGGTGGAGGTCCACACAGACTGTGGATGGACCTCTTAGGTAGGGGTGGAGGGACAGGGTGCTCAGACTGCAGATGGACGTATTAAGTGAGGGTGGACTTAATACGTACACAGACTGTGGACGGACCTCTTAGGTCGGGGTGGAGGGACAAGGTGCTCAGACTGCAGATGGACGTATTAGGTGAGGTGGAGGTCCACACAAACTGTGGATGGACCTCTTAGGTAGGGGTGGAGGGACAGGGTGCTCAGACTGCAGATGGACGATAAGGTGAGGTGGAGGTCCACATAGACTGTGGACGGACCTCTTAGGTCGGGGTGAGGGACAAGGTGCTCAGACTGCAGATGGACGTATTAGGTGAGGTGGAGGTCCACACAGACTGTGGATGGACCTCTTAGGTAGGGGTGGAGGGATAGGGGGGTCAGACTGCAGATGGACGTATTAGGTGAGGTGGAGGTCCACACAGACTGTGGATGAACCTCTTAGGTAGGGGTGGAGGGACAAGGTGCTCAGACTGCAGATGGACGTATTAGGTGAGGTGGAGGTCCACACAGACTGTGGATGGACCTCTTAGGTAGGGGTGGAGGGACAGGGTGCTCAGACTGCAGATGGACGTATTAGGTGAGGTGGAGGTCCACACAGACTGTGGACGGACCTCTTAGGTCGGGGTGGAGGGACAAGGTGCTCAGACTGCAGATGGACGTATTAGGTGAGGTGGAGGTCCACACAGACTGTACGGATGGACCTCTTAGGTAGGGGTGGAGGGACAGGGTGCTCAGACTGCAGATGGACGTGATTAGGTGAGGTGGAGGTCCACACAGACTGTGGACGGACCTCTTAGGTCGGGTGAGGGACAAGGTGCTCAGACTGCAGATGGACGTGATAGGTGAGGTGGAGGTCCACACAGACTGTGGATGGACCTCTTAGGTAGGGGTGGAGGGATAGGGGGGTCAGACTGCAGATGGACGTATTAGGTGAGGTGGAGGTCCACACAGACTGTGGATGAACCTCTTAGGTAGGGGTGGAGGGACAGGGTGCTCAGACTGCAGATGGACGTATTAGGTGAGGTGGAGGTCCACACAGACTATGGACGGACCTCTTAGGTAGGGGTGGAGGGACAGGGTGCTCAGACTGCAGATGGACGTATTAGGTGAGGTGGAGGTCCACACAGACTGTGGATGGACCTCTTAGGTAGGGGTGGAGGGACAGGGTGCTCAGACTGCAGATGGACGTATTAGGTGAGGTGGAGGTACACACAGACTGTGGATGGACCTCTTAGGTCGGGGTGGAGGGACAAGTTACTGCAGGTTGTACTCTAAGGGAAAGGGTAAAGGTTGACTGGCTCTGGACATGTTTGTTAGGTGGGGTGCCAGATTTGGCCAGCTGGGTAAACTGTGGATAATTTTTTCTTCAAGAAACATAAACAAGGTAATAAATCCTCAGACTATTATAAGGGTAACGCTATTTTCAGGTTATTATCATTTGCAGAAGCCCCTGGTCTTTCATTAAGTGCCTGCCGAAGGAGGGCAGTTGAAAAGACTGAGGGCTTCTGCAAATGATAATGCCCTGAAAAATAGCGTTACCATTATTATAGCTAACTGCATATAGTGCCTCACAAAATGTGACTGCTTGTGTCGACACCCTCGTACCTGAATGAATTGTGACAAAACAATCACATCTCTCAAAGTGAAAGTGATTTGTTTGTCTTCCCCCGAGGACGTTGCACAGATAACTGTGCCAGTACTTTGATCAAATTCACTTGAATGTTTTGTGGACTAGAAGATGAATTATACTTAGATATCTGACTACAAGTTCTGCATGCAACATGATTCAAGTTTGAATAACTCAGGAGGCCAAGCCGGCAGCACCCCCAGCTGTGGTCAAGCCCAAGAAGCCAGCAGGGGCAGTGTCCATGTTCGGAGGAATGGACCCGTCGGCTCTGCTCAAGAAGAAGAAGAAACCTGTGGAAGAGGAGGAAGACAAACCAGCGGAAGAAGAAAAGAAATCAGAGGAGAAGAAAAAAGGTATACTGTGTGTAATACAACACACTTGATATGGATGTGCAACTTCTTTATTATTTACACACGATGTTTCTGGGCTAATACTTGCCCCTTCATCAGGTGAATGACAGTCAATAGTTACAGAGGTATATATAGTATGTACAGGAAGCCACAGAGTTGTTTTTACAAAAGATTAGCGAGAGAATTAAGTTAAAATAGGGTATACATAATGTTTGTACAACATGTTCACATAGAGCGAATGACCATATGGAAGTCAGTAAAGGGTATGCAGTGATTGAAATCTGTAACTATTGACTGTCATTCACCTGATGAAGGGGCAAGTATTACCCACCAACTTCTAAATGCCTATCAAACATCTGATATACTATTTGTAGTTATGATTGCTTGACATGTGTCTATTGATGCTGTAGTTACATTTCAAAAGGACAATCATCTGACCTGGTTATCAAGATTTGTAAAGGGAGTAAAGGGTGTTAAAGCGGACCTTGTGTAATCCTGTATCTAAAGCCTGATCACTGTAAAATGCATGGGTTTGTTAGCTGTTGAAGTCCTGACACTTGAAACCTCTTGTGTTTGTTGATTCGGAACTATATTGCCAGGCATTAAGCACTCAATTACACACTGGTCCTAAATGTGTGTCCAATACATGGTATGTTGATAATCTGTGTTGGTAGTTGTACCACTGCTTGGAGACCATATGATCTTATGGAGGGTGCTTGGGATTTTGTATTGAGATAAGATATCATTTCAACTGCAGCTGCAAAACTAGATCCTTGTTACATTCAAACTATGAACCTTCAAGTATTTGTGTTTAGATGTGCAATTTGGAGACATTTATTTGTTTTGGAACATCATATAATATGTCAAATGTTCCTACCTGTACCATCACCGTGTCTCCAACACTGTTTCAGCTGACCCTCTGTTTGGTGATGACGATGGTGGAAAAGGGGCAGCTGATATCTTCACTGTGGTTGCCCCCAAACCTAAACCACCAGCTGCAACACCTAAACCAGCAGCTGCAGCACCTAAACCAGCAGCTGCAGCACCTAAACCCCCAGCATCTCAGGATGAGGACAAGGCAGATGAGGATTCCAAGGTACAGCAGGTCTCTAGCTGCTTTGTTTGTCATAGTTTTGAACGAAATGACAAAAAGCAAACCTAGAAAAGCATAAAACAGATATCAACACCAATTTTGAGAAATGTATGTTCATTCATTGGCTTTCATTGTCTCAATAAGGGAGGTGTTATCAGAAATATATAGGGGATATTGTATGAGTGCCCATGTCATACTATGTTTACGACACGAGTGCCTAAATGTTGGTATTTCCTGAGCGAGAGCGAGGGATATACCGATATTTAGGCAAGAGTGTTGTAAACATAGTATGATATGGACACGAAAATAATATTCTGTTTATTACCAAAGTCGTCAAATAAATCTGAATCTACTTTCAAACATAGGTTGGTAGACATAGGTTCAAACATAGGTTGGTAGAACGCAACGTCACAGAAGAAACGTGACATCATAGTATTGTTCATGACGTCACGTCACCATGACAAAGTGATATTTTGCCCTAGGGCATCGAATGAAAATATGAACCCGATATGTTTGCCATCTTAGGTAATAAATCTCGGTATGGCAGACTTACTACAGTGTCTACCAATAGCTGTGAGCCAATATACAACAGTGTTAAAGCGATGCCAGTTTAGTCAGAGTGCTGTTTGCCATGTTCTGATTTCCACTGATTGTTTCTGTTTTTTATGTGTAATATGAGATTGTTGTAAAACTGTTTCCAGGAAGCCCGAAGCCCACCCGTCCAAAGTTGGCTGGTTCAGTATCTATGTTTGGTGGGATGGACCCAGGAGGTTTGCCTGGTCTGAAGAAGATGCACAACAGGCAGATGTCTGATGGTGAGAGGACAATGTCCGGGTGAAGTTCTAGAGAAACTGGAAACTTCTTATACCTGAATATCATATGGTTTGAAACATTGGCCATCTACACTCGTAGTAGTGCTTGTTGAAAACTGTTGTTTTTACATACATTTGTGTTTGTACATATATATTTATGTAAGACAGTAATCCGCTTAATGATAATATTCAATGCTTAGATATTTCTAAGTTCAAATCAACCTTTATTAAGTACTTGTAAGTGAAGAGCCTGTCTTTTTGTACATATACTACCCATCAAAAGTTTAGACTCACTGAAAGCACTCACTATATGTTATGTATATGTATGTGGTTACATCGAAGATGAATTTCTCCACCAACTTGGGGGGAACCAACTGAAAACCTTATGCAGATGAATTGCACAAGGATGATGCTTCAAATTGCGAAAGGCATGAGCAAATGTCGTGCATGTGAACAGATTCGTTTTGGTGTAAAGTTTTGTTAAGAATTCGCCAATTTTCACAGATTTTAATCATTTACTGAACTCATGACAATAATCTTTTCAATGTTACGAATATGTTTTACAATACACCAGTTCATAACTAAACAGTACCTTTAAACAGTATGGAATATTTTGCAAAAAGCTAGTTTAGAACAGTGGACAAGTAAGTGGCTACATTTACACTAGTGAGTCTAAACTTTTGATGGGTAGTATATAATTACTACTAAGTGGAACCAGTAATAAACAGAACATACATCTTCTCTTTTTTAAATAATACTTTTAATGTTGCTATTTCACAGTTAATTAATTTGTAAGTTAATAATAGTGTTTGCTTCAATAATTCAAAGTTATGTCTAAAAGTTGACATCCAACTTATCATGCACTATTTAATTCAGTAATCCAAGTGAGTTATCTCCCTTCCTTCCAGATACTGAAGTGCCCCTGCCCCCAGACCTTCCTGACTTGGACCAGGTTAGCTTTAGTCATGTTGTTTGCTTCTGTTGACTTTGTTTTGGTTGTAGTCTGTTGCTTCTTGGTAGAAAGTATTTAGACAGCTGACCATGCTTTTAGACTGGAGTCAACACTGTACTACCTGTAGGAAGACTTACTGACTGTGTTTTACTGAAGGCTTTGATTTAAATAGTTTGTTGAAATTTGAAAATAAGAAAGTTATTTTAGGTTTAGCAGGAGGCATGTTTTGCATGTACAGTGGTGTGATGTGTACATTATTTGAGAGGAATTAATGTTTGAAGTGCATGTGTTATGTATCTAGTCAGTGAAATCCAGGATTCTTTATCACATTTTACATGGGATATATTACCACATTCAAATTAATTCATTTAGACTATCCCATGCTAGTAACTTGAAGCTTCAAGATTGAATGACAAGATTTATTATAAAAACTTATGCAGATATTTTCAAATGTTCATTGTTTACAGAGGATTAGAAGTGATTCCAAACTATAAGTTTCCTGGCACTATTTTCTAGACCTGGAATAAGCACCATCCACTTTATCTCCATGTGATACATTTTGGTGCACCTACACTAACCCCTTGATGCATTTCTGTAGTTCTGGCAATCTTAAATTACTTGACTTGATTTTCATGAGCATTTTCAAAGGGTGGAAGAGCTGTCCACGCAAAATGTGGAGTTGGCAAAACCTGATATACTTGCAAAATAATGAAACTGCGAGGGAAAACTTACCATTACTCTCGCGCCACATGTTCGTTTTTCACTGTCCAGCGAGGAAATGGAGCTGCTTTTGGGGCAACTCTACATTTCGCGTGGACAGCGCTTCCACCTTGTGATTTTACCAACCACAAAAATATTGTCAGAAGGGAAGGGGAAAGGGAGGTAACTCTTATTACCAAACAATCGGAGCGACTGCCCATTTTAACTCACAAGAAACCCTTATCAAAAAGAATTTTGAGGGCTTTCTATCATGTGTGAGTTAGTATTGTCAGCATTGAATGTCATGCACATTTGTTCATAATCTATAGGACTGGCTCCCATGTTGTTGACATCGCCATCCAATATTGAGGCTGTTTGCAAATATCATTCAGAATGGTGCATAAGACATAGTTCTTAGCAGATCCAGTCAAATTTGTATATAGAAATCATTGATAGATAATAATAGACATTGTGAGCCATGAATTCAGGGCTTACTTTAGGTTTAGCTAAATACTATCCCTGGAGATTTAGTGGATGGAATTGGCAGCTTTGTCTATGTCAGAGATTGCAGTAAATTAGCTGTGTAGTGGCATTTGGTTATGGTTCTCTGCTAGTCTATTGTCTTGCTGAAACTGTTGGTTGCTTGGTAGCCTTGCTTTGTCTCTGGTATCACGTTTGTCCATCTGTCTGTAGCCTGCAGCCTCTAGTTCAGCTCCTGTCAAAAAACTTCCTGGAAAAATTGGGAAACTTAAGGTAGGTGTGCTTTTGATGTTGTAGCTTAGTTTGAGTTGTTCTACTTCTCTTTGATATATGATACAGCACACTCTATGCCAGGCCTGTCAAAGGAGCCTTGCAGAGCAACCACACAGTGGGACATGTACACGCTTAAAATATAACTAGACACACAGTGGTACATGTATACACTTAAAACATAACTAGACACACAAATTAAACATAACACAGTGTCCATAATTTATGCCTAGAAACGATTAAAATCAGACACATTTTCAAAGGAGTCAAATATTGTAAATCTTGCAATCCAAAACAGACAAATTGTGATTGCTCTCACTGCTTCTCCGTTTAAAATGTGGTGGTATATAATTTGTTATGATTCTGACTTGATCAGGATTGTGTCTTGCTTGTAAGTATCGGCCAGTATTTAAAGTGTTCACATATTCAATAGTTAGGTTGCCCTCTGCTACTTCTCTTTTAGGGGCATTTTACCTAAAAAAACGTTTCTGTGTGATGTATGGATGAGATGATGAATGTAGAATGTATTAATCGAATGATGAATGTGGGATGTATTAATCGAATGATGAATGTGGGATGTATTAATCGAATGGTGAATGTGGGATGTATTAATGGAATGGTGAATGTGGGATGTATTAATGGAATGGTGAATGTGGGATGTATTAATCGAATGATGAATGTGGAATGTATTAATCGAATGGTGAATGTGGGATGTATTAATCGAATGGTGAATGTGGAATGTATTAATCGAATGGTGAATGTGGGATGTATTAATCGAATGATGAATGTGGGATGTATTAATCGAATGGTGAATGGGGGATGTATTAATGGAATGGTGATTGTGGAATGTATTAATCGAATGGTGAATGTGGGATGTATTAATCGAATGGTGAATGTGGGATGTATTAATCGAATGGTGAATGTGGAATGTATTAATCGAACGATGAATGTGGGATGTATTAATCGAATGGTGAATGTGGGATGTATTAATCGAATGGTGAATGTGGGGTGTATTAATCGAATGGTGAATGTGGGATGTATTAATCGAATGGTGAATGTGGGATGTATTAATCGAATGGTGAATGTGGGATGTATTAATCGAATGGTGAATGTGGAATGTATTAATCGAATGGTGAATGTGGGATGTATTAATCGAATGATGAATGTGGAATGTATTAATGGAATGGTGAATGTGGGATGTATTAATCGAATGGTGAATGTGGGATGTATTAATCGAATGATGAATGTGGAATGTATTAATCGAATGATGAATGTGGAATCTATTAATCGAATGATGAATGTGGAATGTATTAATCGAATGATGAATGTGGGATGTATTAATCGAATGGTGAATGTGGGATGTATTAATCGAATGGTGAATGTGGGATGTATTAATCGAATGGTGAATGTGGAATGTATTAATCGAATGGTGAATGTGGGATGTATTAATCGAATGGTGAATGTGGAATGTATTAATCGAATGATGAATGTGGAATGTATTAATCGAATGGTGAATGTGGGATGTATTAATCGAATGGTGAATGTGGAATGTATTAATCAAATGATGAATGTGGAATGTATTAATCGAATGATGAATGTGGGATGTTTGAATGAAATCATGAATGTGTGACGTAATAATGAAATAATGAATGTGGGATATAATTATATTAATGACATCTTGAATGTGGGATGTATTATTGAGATGATGAATATGAAATGCATTAATGAGATATTGAATGTGGGATATGTTATTGAAATGATGACTGTGGAATGAACTAATAAGATGATGGATATTTAATGCATTAATGATAAGCTTGGTGTATATATATATGAGCCAGTGTATGCATGAATTTGTGCCATGAATGTCTATAAGAGACAATATATGTGTTTGGTATGGCAGGGAGGTCTTGGCATCAACCCTGCTGCATTACTTCCTGGGGCAGCGCCGCCTCGGGCAGCAGAGAGTCAGCCAGCTGTGGGCTTCAGTGAACCACCAGAGACCAAAGTCCTATCTAGCACTTCCAAGGTAATACAACATCTGGGGTTTAGAACAGGTCCCCAAATTTCAGTTGACAGGAGGCTACTGAATGAGATCAGGTGGTCAGACTCTACTTGGCATGGTGCAGTGTTCAGAGTATCCATCGCTTGTGTGTGTAGAGACACTTGATTATGTACAGACAGCTGTTTAAGGTAATCATTGCTGTCTGTGTCTAAAAACAAGAATCAAATAATTCTTAGCATGTAGCCAAACTGATGGTTTGCCATTCTGATATAATGTGTTTGGTCATGTTGTTGACATTGATATTAAGTGTTATGATATATTGAGATTTTCCCTGTTTTGATGTTGTTAAATAACCAATTCCTGTTTATGTTGTTTAGGTTTAGGGTAAATAAATTGCTAAGAAAGTTAAAATTTGATGAATGGTCAGGTTTTTAAGTAGATATATGTATTTTCTTGCAAGATGAGACAGATTGTCATAAGATCAAACCTCTTGTTCAGGACCGAGTGAGGATAATCAGCCGGCGAAGGCCCCAGAGTCGGAAGGCTCGTCACTCCGCCGCCCTTTCAGGTGTGTTTGATGACTTCTCCCCAACCATGTCACCAACATCCCCAACAGAACCCCACCCCATTGCTCAAACCGATGGCAAAGATTCCAGCCCACCAAAAACTGAGCCGAGATCAGATTTGTTTGGAAATGATGACATTCTTGGAGAATCCTCTAAATCAGCTCCTGTGTTAACTGAGGACAAGCCTGGTAAAGATGATTTGTTTAGTGATGGACTATTTACAAAGAGTGGCAAGGGAAAGCCATCAGACTCTGTAGATGGACTCTTTGAGTCATCAGGGAAAAGTGAGAAGAAAACCCCTGTAGCTGATGACGATCTGTTTTCCTCTAAGTCTTCATCAGCTAGTGGGCAGGGCAAGAAGGTGACACCAGCGGGTAGTGACGAGGACTTGTTCCCGTCAAAATCTAAGCCGGTGAAGTCAGCAGAAAAAGAATCCAAGACAGATAGCAAGAAGGAAGAGAAGAAAGCCAAGGTTGTGGATGATGATGACATCTTTGCTGATGCCAGTATTAACAAGAAAAAAGGTAGGTATTTGTAACAGATGTTTCGTGTTGTGACTGTCACTGATCTATGTGGAGTGCACATCCAGGAAGTTTATAACTGTTCTTAACAGGCTTATACACTCTTGGATCATTTTCAGAAATGTAAATGTTAGCCTCAGGATCGGCTCAGTGCCATCTTGTTTTTGTCATTTAAACAAGGGCAAGTTCTTGAGCCAAACCTGGGTCACTTTGAATGTCAGTTTGCCCTTAGAGGAACCTTGTGGGGATTTTGAGGGTTAGAATAGGTCCACACAAACCTGGATTTAGCTCACTTTGTTGATGAATGTTGATGTCAGTTTTACCCTTTTTCAAATAGAGTGTGAATACTTTATGTCATACCTAATCAAAACCAACTTAAATATTGGAATAGCAATTACCTATTGATTGCAACTTGATAGCAATCGGTCCAGACTGTTTTATTCAGACTGTTACATCATTTGATGCATATTTTACCCGAAATATTGCTGAGTTACATACATGCTGTGAAAAGCGTTGAAAAAAACCGTGTGGATATGTTGGTGGTTGTGTTAAATGCCTAACTGCTTCTTAATCACTGATCTGTCAACAGGATAATGATCGTAGCTCTCACTTCTAGCGGACCCTACCAAACTGACATGTGACAAAACTGAAAATTTTAAACTTAAAGCAACTTTTCTAAACCTCACTCATGTGACAATGTTTGACATGAGGTTTATCGTCTCATTCAAGAATCAAAGAAACCTACTCCCGAACCCAGTGATGACATATTTGCAGACAGCTCAGCGTCCAAGAAAACCACCGAGAAGCCTGCCACAGGGGTGAGTGGATCTTGGCCAACATGTTTAATAGAATCATTGTGTTTAGTTACCTCTGACAAATATTTACTTGATAAGTATTGTCGACACAGTGACATGGTTTTGGACATGATAATGTAAATACATGTATAAAATTATTTTTGTTGGTAGACCTGCTTATTCCAGGTGCTGTCCATTGGTATCCGATATTCCATCGAAAAGTTACTGATTTAGTGTAAAGTCCCTTTTCTGACTCTTATAATGGTTCTATATGTGTATCTACATGTTAGGTTTTACTCCTTTGTGTTTTGATCATGTTAATAGATTGAACTGTAAGTGGATTATTCCAGAGAACAAGTGCTGTTGGCTTATATTTAAAATAAATGTAGTTGTACATAGTGTTTTACAAAATGTGTTTGTTTGATGATAGAAGGAAGACGACATCTTTGCCACATCAGCACCAGCAGAGAAGAAGAGGCCGAAAAAAGCTAGTGTAAAGGACGAGGCCCTATTCAAGGATGACACAGACATCTTTGCTGACATTCCTGCCTCCAAGCCCAAGGAGCCCAAGAAGAAGAAGAAGACAACGGAGAAGAAGAGCATCTTCAAGGATGATATAGGTGAGAAGAATATCAGACCTCAGTAACCCATCAGTTCTCAGAAACTGATCTGTCTTCAGTAACCCATAGGAGAAGAGTAATCCCTCAGAACTTGGTACAGTGTACCAGCATTCCAGGGTAATCAATCAGTGAGTGAGTGAGTATGGTTTCCAGCAACATCACAGCAGGGGACACTAGAAATTAGCTTCACACATTGTACCCATATAGGGAATCGAGCCCAGGTCTTTGGCGTGACGAGCCAACGCTTTAACCACTAGGCTACCCCACTGCCCCTCAGTCCACAGTAGCATACATTTTTTTTGCTCTGATTCATCAGTTTTGATTAGTTCTCTGTCTTAACTAATAATTAACTCCTCTTCAGTAACTAATCAGTTTTCAATCCTTCATAAACCATCAGTCCTCATTAACCCATTAGTCCTCAATCCTCAACAATCCATTAGTCTTTCGTAACACGTCCTTACTCAGTTACTTGTCAGTCATGAGTTACTTGTCAGTTCACAGTAACATATCAGTTCTAGTCCTTACAAACTGATCCCCTTCCGTTTCAGATGACATCTTTGCAGACACCTCACCAGCATCAACCAAGTCCAAGAAGGATCCCAAGAAAAAGACAAAAGATACAACGAAGCCCAGTGCTAATGATGATGACATGTTTGACGATCCCCTTGGGGGAGGCAAGTGATGTCATTAACTTAGGATACAGTGTTTATATTATGTTATCTTTTGTATAGTATGATTACTGTGTACAGATTAGGTTGATTTTATTGAGGTTTAACATGAACTTCCAGGAGGAAGATACTTAACCAATATTTTACAAATACATGTACAGAGATGTTTGTCATGTACAGAGATGTTTGTTATGAGAACATCCCCCTTCCCTCTGAAAAGGGATAAACTAGTTGAAATGCTTATGTGTAATATATGTTGATAGGAAACGTGACTTCTCTATTCCTCATCAGTGTTCTTTAGGGCCATATTGCATTCTGAAATGCCCTACAGTGAAGTAATATTGCACCAGACAATTGTCAACAGAAAATGACATAATGCCCAGAAGGTCCAGATGACCTGAACCGATTTCCTCATCTGCACATCTCAACAGAAATTGAGTTTCAGACTTCTTACAAAGTGTGTACTATTTATGAGTTATTTGACAAGATTTTTGTTTTTGTTTCCTTCTTGATTTAGAGATTGAATGAACTGCGAGATTCCTTTTACATTTGGTTACTGTTATGTTTTTATCATGACACACATGTGAGATTGACAGTGTGGATGAAGGTTGAAATTCCAACAGGTAGAAATTGGTGTCATTTACAGATGACTGTTTTTCTTGTTGCTGTTTTTACAATCTAATGTTAAGTTATGGTTTGAGTATCCGTTGGTTGAACATTGTATGGTGTGCAGAATGGATGAGTTGCCCAAACAACAGGACAGGACGTGTATCCACTGATAAAGTAGGTGTATCTACTAATACAGTAGGTGTATCTACTAATACAGGAAGTGCATCTACCAATATAAAAGGTGTATTCACTGATCCTAGAAGTGTATCCACTGATACAGTAGGTGTATTTAATGATCCTGGAAGTGTATCCACTGATACAGTAGGTGTATTTAATGATCCTGGAAGTGTATCCACTGATACAGTCAGTGTATTCACCGATACAGGAAGTACATCCACTGAAACAGTCAGTGTATTCACCGATACAGGAAGTACATCCACCTAGGATATATCTCTGATCAGAGTACTGGGATAGCTTTAAGAAGTGTATTGGCAGGACAAAGTTGCTTTGTGAAAGATTTTAAGGACATATAGAAGAATATTTTTTGTCTGGTATTATTCTTTACATTTAGTACTGTAATTTGATAAACTTATTAAGAATAATTGTCTTTGAAATGTGGTGCTATTGATCAATTTGTTCCTTGTGAATACACATGCTGGCAATGAAGCTGGCATGGACAAACTGTGCTATTGTTTCGGGGGTGAAATGGTATAGATTGGTGTTATAAATATAAGTAAATTGTGTAGAAGCAAATAAATAATATACAGTTCAGAATTTGAGATTTATCATCAAGACTGGTTGAAGTTGTAATATATGCACAGATATTGTTGGTCTTGAATGATTAAAACAAAGGTGACTCTGCCCCAAGTAAATAATTAAGGCAGAACAAAAAATACTGTATATCTGATCTGTGAAAGACATTGAGTGCAATAAATGCCTTTATATGATACCCATTGTTATTACTTGTTAACTACCAACTATGAGATATCCAGGTAAATAAAGGATACACCTACATTAGATGAGGCAGTTACAGACACAGCAGGACTGAAATGGAGATAATAAATCCACCTGAGTTGACCCACCAGTGTTGCAGCTCCTAGGGGAACAGCATAGCAGTAACAGGAGATGCCTGGTATAATTCTACTGTCGATTGGCTTCACATTGTAATATCACTTATGTGGCACCTGTATATCACTGGCTGCAAACATCACTTGCAGGAGCACATCAACAAACTTCACAGCTACAGGTATCATGTGTATGTATACCATCATTAGGAAACCAGTTTTGAATCAATTGGCTTCACTTATTGTCAGGAATTGCATCTACATTGAACCTGCCTACCACGACAATAGGAACCTGAATTCCTACACATCCTATTGTGTTGGGACCCCAGTTACATTGCATCTACATACCACCACCTGTGTGTATAAGAAACTCAATAGTAGACTTCCTATTGTGTTGGGACCCCAGTTACATTGCATCTACATACCACCACCTGTGTGTATAAGAACCTCAATAGTAGACTTCCTGTTGTGTTGGGACCCCAGTTACATTGCATCTACATACCACCACCTGTGTGTATAAGAACCTCAATAGTAGACTTCCTATTGTGTTGGGACCCCAGTTACATTGCATCTACATACCACCACCTGTGTGTATAAGAACCTCAATAGTAGACTTCCTATTGTGTTGGGACCCCAGTTACATTGCATCTACATACCTCCACCTGTGTGTATAAGAACCTCAATAGTAGACTTCCTATTGTGTTGGGACCCCAGTTACATTGCATCTACATACCTCCACCTGTGTGTATAAGAACCTCAATAGTAAACTTCCTATTGTGTTGGGACCACAGTTACATGGCATCTACATACCTCCATCCCCCGGTTTAGAACCTGCCTCATTGGAAATATATATTTATATTTATACCACTGCTTATTGTCAAATGATGTGAAACTACAACGGGGCTAAAGACAATATACACCCAGAGTATTGCCAAACATTCAATTTAAGCGTGTAAATAATATTATAAGTATATTTGTTGAAACTATATCCAGATAAGGTTGTAACTTCACAACACATTATAACAGTATCCGTATGTTCTACGGAGATGGGGGCGGTGGGGTAGCCTTAGTGGTTAAATCGTTGGCTCGTCACGCCGAAGACCCGGGTTCGAATCCCTACATGTGTACAATAACAAGCCCATTTCTGGTGTCCCCGCCGTGATGTTGCTGGAATATTGCTTAAGCAGCGTAAAACCAAAACTCAGTCAGTCATGATCAGTCTACGGAGATGAAAGTATCACCTTCAGTAGCATACTTTCCTCTCCGTAGACTGGATGTGTCAAACACGCTTCCATGCTAATGAGACTTTGGGTATTCCAAAGTAGTATTGCATGTTAATCAAATGACATTGAGCCAAATCTGAAAGAAAAGACTGTCACAATAACCATGGTGTGAATATATTGCAAACCAGAGGATTAAAAGACCGTTAGCTTGTATGATTGTATAACCCGCAAAAGATATGTCTGCCTCCAACTGAGCGGTGAATCAAAGAAACCCAGGGAAACTGCATAATGTTAGACAAAACCGCGTGCACAGAAACGCTGATCTCAGCCCTACATAAACCGACCATATCCCTACACAGGTCAATCCCCACCCGCGCATACAGTGGGGAGAAATCATGCAGACGGCCCAGGGCTGGTATATTTTGCGATATAGAAAAAATACGTAATTATTTATATTTGATAAATTGCCGGTGATGTAGACATCCCTTGTCTTTGTGGTTGACAGAGTTAGGTTAATGAAAGGAGAACGCAGACATTGTCTGGAGAGAAGACGCTAGCTTATGCATGACACGTATATCACTGAGTCTAATCATCTGTTCATCAATATTTCATAACAGCTGTGATGTTTTACCTTATAATGTCGCGGTGAAATGCTTCAAAACTAGCTGCATGGTCACAAAGCTATCGTAGCGCTACGACTGTCGTAAGTTATGTTAATACGGAACTTAAAGCCATACAGTTACGATGAGGCCCTCATACTAGTCTCGTACCCGCGCAGATCCGGGTTAGGAGAATAATATTATTGGTCTTCAGCAACCTATGCTTGTCGTAAGAGGCAACTAACCGCCTAAACGCCGCATCAGCAATGTTGCGGCTATTCGCGGCGATAAGTCCATGCTGACGTTACATGAATGCGCAAGGATCATATGACAGGTCTATAGACAGAAGCACTCGTACAATACGCACTTTAGGGCCCAAAATCACAGAATGTTTTGTGTCACGACTTCATTGCGTCAGTGTCGAAGTGGGGGAGTATCGCAGCCCTACAATCGCTTAGCACAAATACTTTCTCTAGTATGGGGGGACGTCCATTTCATTGTTTTGTTAGTTTGTTTATCACAACAAAATAATCTGTTACGGAAATACTAACATAAATAGGGTTAGGTTTCACATAAATGCTGCCGGCAACTGGAGGCTTACAGTCAGAAAAAAACACTCCAACACAGTAACGCACCCTTGCAATAACCCAGTAAGTGTTTCTTCATTGCCACACAGTCACACCATTGCAACCAGGCATTAAGAGTGCTGATAAGTTATATCCTGTCGGGAATACTGAAGCGCAAACACCTACATGCTGCGACATTTGATCAGATAACGTTCATACGATAATTTCATGGCGTTAATAACATCATGTTGCTAGCTTTGACAGACCACAATGTATGTTGTGTGATCATCAAATTACCTCATCTACACACCTGGAGAAGGGAGAAGCATCCTCGATTAGGCTTCTTTGTTTTTATATACCCTGAGCTTCTATGTGTCTTCCACTTGAATATCTAAAAACATATTTGTTTCTATAAGATATAATGGGATCAGCTACATGTGTTCAACAAAGATGCTTCCGTTTCTCGTGATATGTTCTTCCTTTGATCTGGACAATTTGACCATGGTCCTAAAATGCATTTCATGTTACAACAAACATCTCCTGGTCACACCTCTGACCCAATGATTGTTTCAACCGATGATGAGATTCAACAATAGGTTCAAATCTAATGTTCAATATGGCCACCATGGCAGGTATCCTGAAAAGTCTTTTTATGACCATGACAATGATTTTCCGGCCGTATTGGTTTTATATAAAAATGTATACTGCTACCTTCTTGACCATTCTCCTCAACTGACTTGAACGTTTGTTCAAATCATTAGATTTCTGTATCTATACTAAAGGTGTCCTCCCATTTGTGAGAACTCCCAGTTGTGAGACACATTAATTAATGGTTCAGTGCACACAGGTGGTGCTTCCCCATCCCTACGATGAAAGTGGGAACAGCCCTGTTGCTGAAGAGTACCCGCAGGAGGCATAGTTCATTAATGAGTTAATTAACACACAAGACATTGTTCGTTGAAGAGCATTTATTGTTTTCAATAGATACTGAAATACTGAAAAAGATTATCGTGAACTGGTGATATATTCTGCTTGTTGAAGGCCTGCCATAATGGTGATCCGAAAGAGCAGTCAAAGGTTAATAAATACATTTGGATTAATTATAGTGACAACAGTTATTGCTAGATTTTTCAAACACGTAAATCTGAGTAGGAATTATTTTCTCTTTCAAATGATCACGAAGTTACCTACACAATGTGTTAATTTTTTAAAGCCATTTATCCGAGTAGGTTAATTACTTTATCTTTTAGAGTTTTATTAAGTAACCTCCACAAGATTCAGTTAAATAGCTAATCCATAATTAGCTGGGGTTAGTCCATTCTATCAGATAGGGGAGTAAGGTGTGTTTTCTTTGCTAATTACCTACTCCACTGTCTCACAACTGGGAGTCTCACAACTGGGAGTTCTCACAAATGGGAGTAGACCATACTAAAGGTATTTGAATATTAACGCTGACAACAACAGTTTTAATTAAGTGTCTGAGACTGAAATTGAAATGTGTTCCCATATCGTGCTTAAGTAGTGTCTACGTTTTGGGATGAATTACCGCGTGTGAGAATAAGCTCAGGCGCCCGTGTCGCCTTAGGCACGCCTTCTATTCATCATCTAAATACAATACGTAAAGACCCTTTCTGGTTTGACCTCAGGAACAGTTTGGAACGGAGATAAAACTACTTCGCACACACCTACAATACTGCCGCATAGGTGGACGCACACCTTCTCTCTCACTCATGCTCAACGAAACACTTCGAATTGCTGTCGTGAGAAAGTCTCAAGGAATTCCAACTGAATTTGGAGACACAGCTCCTGGCAACACCGCAAAGTGTGCTGTACATTGGCTTAACAAACAGAAGCCTGCCGGTTCCTCGCTTTCTACACATGACAGGCACGCAAGACAACAGATCAAAGATTCGATATTGTGCAATCAGCTTCAAGATTGCCGGAGGGATATTTTAGTGTGATTAACTAAATTGGTCCAATTTTGACATAAAATATCTTCAATACTTTGCCTATTATCTTTTCAGCTTCTGATCTTAGGAACAGAATGGTCAGATGATACGAGAAACAGATGATAAACAGTCAATATCTATTACTAAGATTATAGAATAGAATAGAAAAGACTTGTCGGTATTTTACAGTGCAATAAGCATTGCGAAACATCTTATACCTGCTCAGATGATGCTGATAATGCGCAAGATGTTCTTGTTTCAATTGTAGCTCCTTCAGTTCAAAATGGCGAGGGGCGGCGGGGTAGCCTAGTGGTTAAAGATTTCGCTCGCCACGCCGAATTCCCGGGTTCGATTCTCCACATTGGTACAATGTGAGAAGCCCATGTCTGGTGTCCCCCGCCGTGATATTGCTGGAATATTGCTAAATGCGGTGTAAAATTGAACTCACTCACTCAAGATGGAGTTGACAGCGTCCATAGTTCGTCACTGCAGGGATGATACTTTCTCCTGAATATCGACAACGAACTTGTATTTTGTATTATCCTGAC